AATTTTGAATGTAAAACACTAAAACCTTGTGACATGCTCAGTAAAGGATGCCCGTGGTGATAGGGTTAAGTAGCTCTTTTCCTCATTTGATGAAAATTTTGAGAAAGCCGAAAAGGAAAGAAATTTAGCCTCCTTACAGTAATCAGTTCCCTGAGGAAGGCTGTAAGAGAGAAGAAAGAATGCTTGTAGACTTTCACAGTGATAATTGAACAGAAGCTATCAAACAAGAACAGCTGAAATGCTGACTTTTTTATTTTCAAATAGTTCAGTTACATTTGAACACTACTAGATGAGTAATAAAAATATTTCTGTCTTTTCACTATATAAAATAATTGTAAATATTTGTATAACATTTGCATTTGAAAATGTGCATCTAGGAGCAGTTTAATGGTTCTTGAATTTCTAGAAATGGTCATTGAAAAGTCATGAAATTTCATTTCTATGTAGGTACAGGAACCCTGAATTCCTGATGTTGAATCTGTGTGGTTCATTTTTGATTTGATCAGTCATTTGTATAAGGAAGAAAGAGATTAAAGTACTTGTCTGAATTGTTCATGATGAGCCAGATGAGGAAGCACTGGAGTTAGAAGCAAGAGACAACTCTGACAGTTGGCTGAGCTTCCTTCACTTGCCTTCTGATTGATCAGACTGGGAATAAACTCACTTAATGATGCTAGCATGGTCATTTGGAGAAGAAATTAATGACTGAAAATAAATGGTGTTATTTGCTTTTCGAGCTATTGGGTGGTATTGTAAAGTACAAAGTATGCACTGATTTGAGTGATTAACACTTGATCACGAAGCTAGGAAGAAGGGTGTATCACCAGTTCGTACAACTAGGGATGACAGCTAAGAGTTCAACAACTCAATTTAAAGGGCATTGTAACCCTTGCTTTCCAAGCAGTCAGGTGGGATTGTAGGGTATAGTGTGTTCACTACATTGTATGGTTCCCACTCAGTCACTGGAATTAGTTGGATTGAAAAGGCATTGTAATCCTTACTTTCCAAACTATTGAGCAGAGTTTGATTACAAGAGATATCTGTTGGATGTTGAATAATAGCTGCTTGATTAACTTTCTCTTTCCCTCTAATAGGGGCTCATTCAACTTGATTGACATTGTAACTGTAAAGCTGTACATGCTATAATTCTTAATATATCTTCACAAAATTTGGCAAGCTTGTAGTAAACATTACAAGTCTTTTGTACACCAAAAATCAGATTTTAATAAAGTTTTTTTTTTTCTTAGAACTTGTATTAAGATTAATTGTTAGGATAAGGACAACCCTGAAGTAGAAGAGGGACAAAAATGTGGTATATGAACAATAAGTCAAACATACTTTGAGTTTCTACATTCTTATTTAATACAGTATCATTCTAAACTTATCAATTATTTCTCTATATGTGTAGTTTTTCACATGACATGTGGTCAAGAAAGTCATTAAGTCTGTTGAGTTCTAACTGCCTTTGTTTATTCACTGGAGATAACACCTGTTCTGCTCATGACTGTAATACTGCATGTTATGCAAGAATGTAGACAGAAGTGTTCTCTAATGATAGAAGTTATGACCTCCCTTATGTTTTAATGGGATTGTCCAGAAATGACAAAGGTGGTAAGTGTGCCTCCTGAGAATAAAGTATTATAGAATTTGGTATATAGTACTATGATAGCTTAGTTACTTCTCTTGTCCTTCATTTGGTAAGTGAAGTGGTAAGTAATAATACTCTTCTAAAGTTAAATATGTAGCTTTTAACTCTTTCCATACAGGCTTGGTCATTTTGACTGACCTTGTAACCACCAGGTAATCATGAGTTTCCATACTATAACTTTTAATGTGGTACATGTATCTTCACAAAATTTGGCAAGCTTTTAATAAACATTACAAGTCTTTTGTACATACAAAATCAGATTTTTTAATTAAATATTTTTACTGAAGATCTCTGTAAATATACACCTGGAAAAAAGTTAAGCACCCCCAAATATTTTTCAGGATTGCTTATTCAAAATAA